GCTGTAGCGGGCGGCGCATCAGGCATCGTGTTAATGGCGGGCGGCGAGTCGGCCGGCGTTGCTCCGCTACCCTTCTTCCTCCTGGAAGCAGGGGAACATTTTGAGGATATACGCTCCGTTGATGGGGAACCTAAGCGACGTTTCAAGGTTCCCCTGGACGTTGTACGTCCTGCGGTTCTACCGCGCTCGCCACTCTCATCCCCGTGAGGGGTGAAAAATAGCCGCATGGAAGACGACGCAGGCGTCGACATCGCGGCTTCCCCCTACTAAGGGGCTATGAATTGCTAGCCCTAGAAGGGCAAGGCTAAGACAAGTTTGCTCTAGTCCTGAAAAGGACTTAGTCCGACGGTGGCCAGAGCTCTTCCCTGGTGGGTCCATCCTCCTTGGTGGTCAGACAGCTACCTCTCCCGACTGAAACTGCCTTCACTGCTCACCGTTTAATATCCGGTCAGGGCTGAGGGCTCGCCAACTGGCGCGGCCGTACGGCCGATGGCACGCCCGGTCGCGCCGACCGAAGCGTGACGGCTTCGCTGAGCCCGACCTCTCGTGAACGGCGCCCGCATTTTCCTAGGCCTCGCCTCGCAACTGCGTCCTGATTCCGGTTCCTTCAAAGGGACGCGGGCGACTACTACAGAAAATGTTGGGTAGTGACAATGATGAATAAACATGTAACTCTGGTCCTGGTCACCTACCATATCACCGAATCGAGTAATAACGAAACTCGCCGAGTAAATTCGTCTTCTGCTGCCTTCGCTCATCGTTTGCCGTCTTCTGCTCTCTTCATGAGACAAACATAAAGTTTGACGCTATACGTGTTTTCATTATCCAATGTGATTTTGTTTTAGAAAATTATTCTTTCGTACTTGAAAGAATGAGAGACTGATGTAATTAATGCTTTAGCTACGCTGCTTCCTTTTGTGTTATACATCAGAGAAAGCAAAGAATTTAAAAATTAAAAAAAAAACTTTTTCTGGAAGCCTGAAACACATCACGAATTCAATTCACCATTTTCAGTGTAAACTCATAACACTTCTCAAGTAAGATTATGACAGTGTTAACAGACATTTTCGGATGGAATCAGTGCCTAGTATTACAAAACAGTGCGAGTTTATGCTTCCACAAAGATGCCTTCAATGTGAGTGATGAATGGCATTTCTTCGCTTCGCAATGTGTTATGGAAAGATACCATGTGCCGTAAAGAGAGGGGGTGCAATATAATATTTTTGACAAAAGCTAGCCTTAAATCCCACAGGAACCTATTAATTTACCCAGGAAGTTAACCTTTATATTTTTAGCAATGCTGAACAATACTTACAGGCCTATTGTAACAATGATATAATAAAAAACAGTAGAAGGCACAAAGAAAATACATATGTAATTTATTTTCTTATTAAAAGGTGAATTAACGATATTTTCTGTAAAGTGAAGTAAAAGAAATATCAACGTAATAAACTGTATCATACACTCATATTCGTGAGTTTAATACTAAATTGAAACTGTTTGACACTTTCTAACTTGAGTTTAACAGGCTATGAAGGGCATGTGTATATGGTGCATAGTAAGATATGAAGGGATACCTCTATTTATTGCTCTAAGAAAGTATATTGATGGTAATTGTCTACTGCTGACGTAGGCACGTGCTTGAGGGGTAACGTTCTAACAGACGCTGCAGCTAAACGAGCAAGTAGACATTTCTATTGAATATAATTTCTCAGAATCATCTCAATGTCCCAGTTTGTAAATAATCAAAGTTTTCTGGAACGTTTTAGGAATTTCAATGGTATTCTTTTCAAATTTTTATACTGTCGAGTTTTTGGACAATTTAAAATAATAAAAATAAAATAGGTCAAAAAATGTTTTTTTTTAATTTAACGAATTACACATACACATTAGGTGACAGAGCATATTTCGTTATTTAATGTCGCAAAATATTAAATGTCTGTCATATTACAACACGAATAAAAAATTATTAACTTTAGCGATTCAAACGATCAAAAATTCTGAAAATTAATGTAAACTCGAAAAATAATATTTCGAAAAAAATGTAAAAAACACGTGTTTCATATATTTTGTCATATTCTTCACAGAAGAAAAGGTTTTAAAATTTGAGACATCAAGGTCAAATTTTCCTTACATTTGTGCGATTTGATGTGGAATGACACAAATATGAAAATGAGGAAGTATGGAAAGCAGAGTTCAGGAAAAACTGCAACAGTTTTGTGAATATTTGGAATATGTTTCGTATCTTCAAATACAGTAAAATCTGTCTAAACCGGAACCTGTAAAATCAGGAAATCTATCTTAACCGGAAAATTTCTCCGGTCCGTGAAGTTAAATGGCATTCTACACAGCACAAAACGTAACTTCTCCAACGAGAAAACAGAACGGTTTTTCATGTCCTGCAAGAAAAAAATCTTTATAAAACGGAATTATTTTGAATTTAATGCAATTGGCAGAGGGATGCGAGATGTTCTTAATGAAATAAATACATCTGCAAGCCTGTTTTAAATTCTATACCCGCAATTTTATCGTGACAGCCGGACAATGAAGGAGAAGATCTTCAGCTGTTAGCGTAGAATTCGTCCTTGAGGTCGCTTGTCTCTTAAGTAGAATCCACTCTCTCCCGAGTCTGAGCGTGGAAAGGAGTACGGTCATGGCTTCTATTCACTCGTCTCTCCGCCCCACGTTGAAAATCATAACTCATCGACTAGATAGGCATCGCTCAAGGTCATGCGAGGGTATCAGGAAGTCATAGTTCTGAGTTGTGACGCATTGTGCGTTGAAAGAGTCAGCAAGCAATCTGAATACACCCACTGCGTTGCGTTCCCCCGACAACTTGCACTTTCACCGCTCATGCAGGCAAACATCTAGCTCTTGAGTGCAGAATTCCCGCGGAAGCAGGAATTCTGCAGGCCTGTATTACAGCATGGTACTTACGTACCAAAGATACTGTAGTTCTGCAGCGGAAAGTAGCGGTTTTTCGACAGAAAAACTCATGTGGAACCTTGATACCATAAAAAGAAGACAATTCTTGCTATTTGCAGTAAATTACTTTTTCCAATACATCCTGTAATCAGAATCCTTGTGTTTGGTGGCTTCATTGATAACGCAAAATTGGTTTACAAAAAAAGTTGGTGTGTGGACAATAATAGCGCCTAAACCGTTCAAATGATTTTATCAAAAATTATCCTTCCGTTATCCATCTGGCCAAACTCGACTTCCCGTGATTTTACGTGAGAATGTGTTTTTACTCGTATAGAACAAAGTACAAAGTTACAAAAATGGCGCAGGTCCCATTGTCATTGAACCAGGGGCGAATCCAGAGAGACATTTTGAATTGATTTGGTTTTGCTTAAATGTGTCATATTGTAGATTTTGTAAAATGTCGCTACACTCCGGTCATTCGGCGATACGATTTTATCCGTTTTAATGGTTATCCGAAAAAAAGTTTGCTTGAAAGTTTCATGGCAAGTTAAAATTAATAGTTTCTGAAACATTTTAGGGGGAGGATTTCCCTTATACCCCTCCCTGTGGATCCGCGCCCGATTGAACTCTGAAGTTTTAAAATGGCAAAAGTTCAATTTTTTCGACACCTTCCTATAACTACAAGATTGAACATCGAGATTTTTTACGTAATAAAATTCATCAAAAACAGATCGTAAAATAAGGTCAAGTACAATTATTAAAAACATGAGAAGTAATTTTGCATGGTTTGTGGACAATTTTATAAACAAGATTTTTCTGAAAAATATCTCCAATTTTTTCTTAAATAGAGTAAAGTACAAAATTGGCGCAGGGCTCATTTTCCGCAAACGCTCCCTATTTTCGAAAATTGTAAAAAATTAACATCGCAAAACTACTATATTAATAAAGATATTTTTTACGGAAACGTGCCCTTCAAAATTATATCTTTTAATAAGGTCATGTACATTTAAAAAAATACGAGTGGTTTAGGCTAATTTGTATCATCGAAATCGCAATTTTGTGTTTTCCGTGCTTCAGTTGGTCGTCTTTCAGGAGATATCAGCAAATACCATATATATTTACAATCAATTTGATATCAGATTGCAATACCATGTGAACGCCGGGCAGCAATACGGCAGTTTGAAATTATGAGAATTCTTTCTAATTGTTGGGAGATGTTTACGGCTGTATGAAACGTAGTTCTTTCGAATTTGTATTTATATATTAGCTTTAACGGAATTGGTTTTCGCACCTAATGTAATACGATTTGTAGAAAGTTTTATAAGTGATGACTGAGATGTACTATGAATATGGACAGATATTGCGGTATTTTAATACTATGTAACAGTTACTAGGTGCGAGAAAGTACATGCTGTTTTATCACCACTAGTTTGAAAATTGTATGTTATACCGCATTTTAATCATTAGCTCGCGAGATCTAGCATCTGCTTGAGAATATTACTGTAGAATGTGATGCGATCAATTTTTTATTAATTGTTTTAAAAATATTGGATTTGGGGAAGGGAGAATAAATTCCCATGTTCTGCCTTGGATCCGTGCCGCGTTTTCAAATTTCGCACCACAAATTTGCGGTACCTGTCACGTCAGAGTTTCTTCCTCAATGCAGGGCCTCACGCAACCATAAGTCAGTGATAGAAAAATTAAAAAATTAAATTACGTTCACATCACTGACAAGAAACGCGATTTCTCAATATAATATTTTTTTTTTCTCTGACTAGGCGCATCTGACCTAATTACGTGGAATACACTCCGCCTTTTTTTTAACCTTTGAAGTATGTAATTATGTTGCGATGTGCACCAAATTTCAGATATTGAATATGATAATAATGTTTCTGCCAGGTCGGACAAATTTCCAATAATTGAAACAGGCACAATTATTCGGATGGGCGTTTCCGAAGCAAAAAAGCTATGCGCTTGGCGGTGTGTCGTCTTAAAGGGATGCTCTCCGAACTTCCTTTAACTGTTTAGTATTTTCTAACTACTCCATGATTCAAAGAGTTTCTTGCACTGATTCCTCCTCCCCCCGCATCGCAGTTCACCACACGATTTGTCTTCTGTACACGAGCGAAGGCATGTGTTCTATGATCAGATTGAAGAGTGTAGTTTATGATTAATGGCGTTCTATAGTTATCGTTTGAAAACTCTTTTAGATAAATGGCCAGGCAAGAAGTACCTGGGAATATATAGATTCTTACCCTTGTTTTTTGCATTGGGTGCTGCATTAGAATTTTCCATGATCAACTGGCAAGTTGGAGAAACGAACTTCTGTAAGTTTGTTATAACCTCGATTACACATTTAATTACTATACGTTCAAAGCAACATTGTTCGTTTTCTAGATCGAACCTTCAAACGGCGTCAAGCCAGGAAACTTGCGGAAGAGGCTGTCAACGAAGCATCGCTGTAAAACTATTTTCCTTTACATATCATTTAATATTTACGCAAGTTTTGACGTGTTAAAGTATGCCAGCAGGTGTATCGTGGTCTTCCTACTTGAAGTTTTTCACCGCTGCAATGGCATCAATGTTGGCAGGTGCCCAAATCGTGCATATATTGTACAAACCATTGGATGACCTGGACTTGTATATACAAGATGAATTAAAGAATTTTAAAGAGAGGAAAAAATAATTATATCTTGTAATTAATATTAGTGTGTGCCTGCAGTGAATTTGTTTCTATATAACTACAGATAGTAATTCAGTTCATTTCAGGGTTCGAGTGCTCTTTAGAAATAAGCCTTTTTATTAAATGTACTTTAAGGAATAGGCTGTATCAATTCCATCATATAAATTATCTCTAAGATATTTATTATAGTTTTCTTTTAGTTGAAGAAAATTGGAATTGTTAATGTGTGATTTGTAATGTATTTTTAATTTTGTTGGTGCAGATGACATGGAATTTTAAAATAATTACCAACACACCCTCATTTAAGAAGTATGATTATTTATTTTGAAAATAAAGGTCTGTGTTATGAACAGGATATTTTCTACACATACATTTTGTCAATGCGCTGTCCCTTCTGATGAACTATATAATAACTGAGCTATAATTGTGTAAAGACTGCCTTGGTTATTTATAAAAATATTATTGGAGGAAAGAAAATGACAATACCAAAGTCTTCCAATGGGAAAAAATGGTAATGTAAATAAATGTGTACAAATCAGGTAACTTTTACAAGAGTACACAATGTTATACTATATTTAAATATCCACTTTTAGCATATTTTAATATAGTATGAATAAGCATATACATTATTTATAAATGTATAGAAAGTGGTTTGTTCAAGTTGTTTCTGCACTGTTGTATGTTTTTAAGAAAAGAACTATGCACATTTCTAAGCAGCACTGTCTATACATCTAGAAAATAAACTGGCAAAAAAATGTACAATATCAAAGTCAATGAAAATTGCAGCTGTGACTCGCTAACACAGCCAGAGTAGAAAAAAAGTTGACTAGTCCAAACACTTCAGAATTTCAAGTAATGCCTGAAATATCCACTAACATTGTAATATTGAATCGCATGCATCCACACCACACAAAAACAATGCCAATATAACAGAGAAACGTTCCATACAAAATGTCTGCCATATATTTATTGTCCATTACAATACCTAATGAGAAATTCTGTAAGCTGATCATGAGAGATATGCTGGTGGTTGCTATCTCCGAGATCACAAGGATGCTTTGCCACAAGCCCCTCAGGAATCTCTGGCTCTTTAAGGTTATACATGTACATACTTGTGTATCTGTTTATTTACACATGTATGTACATATACACACATTCATACACATCCACTAGCACTGAAATTAACATCAACTTCGATTCTATGATAGGTCAAGTATATATTGCAATTCACATCATATTTACAGAGCAACTGTTAAGTATATGAATTGGTAACTAGTTAATTATAAATGAAATAAATTTGTATTAAGATACAATCAGACACCAACTGCTCCAACGATTTCACAAATGTTAAAAACATGATTCTCGACCATGCTTATAACAAGAACATGAATTCAGTTATTTTACATATATACAAGAATATTTAAAAAATTGTTTAAAAACTTCATTAAGTATAAACATTTCTTTCATATCTACAGCTGCAAAATTGGTGTAAAACTACATACTGTTACTATATAATTTACATACATATGTCCCCCATTCGCAGGCAATAATAGTAATTAAGACATAAGGAATAGTAAAAGGACATATAAAATACTTGTGAACAATACTCAATTGTAAGTAATATATTAACTTGAGCTAATTCTGCTCCATGAAGCACAGGGTTTAGAGGTGGAATACTCAAGGCCAAAGGTTGCCCCATTATATGCAAAGTTCGCAATGATAAAAGGGATCCAGTCTTAATCAGCAACTGGGTTGAGAGTAAGGCAACTCTCTCAGAGAGAACCAGTTCCACTGGTGTGTGAGAGCACAGAAAGAAGAGGAAGTTGGAGACGAGTCCAATATGATCCGCATGAGTGACATGATTACAGATTGTACTGTGGCATTTTGAAGTATTGTCACTAAGAGATAATTATAGTTATAGACAAACCCCCATTTATATGTGAGACACTGTCGATAAATGAAAACATCAAATTATTAAATCCTCAACCACACTGCAGTTTGTCAGAACTTTTAAGATTGTGCACATTCTAATGTTCAAATATAACAACACTTGGGTTTGAGACGAAATATAACAAAGAAAATTCCACAAACTGTTTCATTGACAAAAATAATACAAAATAAAAGAAACACAAAATAAAATAATGCAAAATTTTATTGTACATATTATGTTATCACTGGAAATAGCTCATACAGGAATTCAGACGGGCCAATGTAATTGATATAGCATTTATATACAAATTTCATCACCATTACTACTGAAAATAAATCTATACAATGAGTGATATTGATCACTTCTTTCAAATGATATATAAAGACTCGATATACAACATCAATGAAAACAATTGCACATCAAAATAAACACTTAACAATGAAGTGAAAACATTTCACCAAACCAAACCAAAAAAACAAAGGAACTTCTGACAATGTAGCATCTGATATTAATACATGCAGTAAGCATGCATGTTTTGTATAAACATATAATTTATCTTTTTACAGCTGATTTATTAATAACTGCACAACTTTTTAAACATTGCAAAATAAGCAGGGGAAAGGGGGGAGCAAGTCTAATAGAAAATAATAACCATCTGCAAGGCCATTGCATACCCTGACTAGCCACTTCCTCTTCTTTCAAGTACAAATTCAGACAATTCAAATTTACAGATTTACACTTGTGTAATATAGATTTATGCAAACAATTACAGCCCCCCACCAATACCATACCTAACATATTAGTGCTTCACCAAGCTAATAAAGGCCCTACAAACTTATGGCAGTACATACTGGCTCAGTACAGAGAATTTTCTCTGAAATAATACAATTTCATTATAAAAATATATAACTTAACATAAAATAATATACTTTGAAAGTAACAGGACTCTGTAACCCAAATCTCTCTCTCTCTCTCTCCTTTGATAACACAGAAAACAATCTAAAAACTGGTGGGTCAAATATACTAAACTTGACATGTGCAGGTGCAGGAGACATTCATGTAGACCAATTACAACATATCCCAGAACCACATCTGAAACAAGAAATTCACTCAGCTGCTCCTGCTTTAAGCCATGTCTGACAACTCACGAGTTCAACCCTACAAGTGAAAGACTATTCCAATGCATTTGCCAGTAAGCAGTTTAAAAATAAAGAGCTGTCACAAACTGTAGATGAAAGTCAAACTTTTAGCAGCTACAAGGCACAGATATTAAAAAGCTAAGCTCACAATTAACACATTCATTCCGTATAAAACTTACTTTTAGAACAAAAAAAAGTAATGCTAGAAAAAAAACACATTTTCAACATGCAACTGAATTCTACTAACGAATATCAGAAATTAAACAGCAATGCTTACTAAACTTCAGTGTATCTCAATGTCTAGCAGTAGCATGAAAAGAACACAGATGAGAATTGTGAATAAAATCATGTTTACTACAGAAGACCATAAGAATTTGAAGAAGCCATTTCAGCTTGACCAAAGTTTGACCTCAAAAGGAAGCTGGGGATTCCATAGGGCACCTTATCAAAGATGAGTTCTAAGTGTAAGTGGCATGTATCCTCAACCAACGTTCATTCATCGATTCACCAGAAAGCTCTAACAATACTATGAACCAGTCAGCACTGTCTCAAAGCTTCTGGAAATTTGATACATACTTGAGAACATAATTATTAGATGTTATCAGTTAGATAGTCTTCAAACAACGAAATTCTTTCGCGAAAAGATAATCATGACTAAAAATCTACCTAGCATACACTCACAAATTCTAACACATAATACAAATTCTTCCATAAATAATTTACATGTTTGTTTTTTTTTCAATACCAAAATTTTAATTGAAGCTAAAATTCACAAATTAATTATTCATAGCATAAAAAGCATTAATTGTCAAAGAGGAGCTCGAGCTTAGGTCAAACTTTGGCCAAAAAAAAAAATGAACCACTGGTTCCCAAACATTTTGTTTTGATTTGGTATTTTGAATTTCATTACATAAAACAGAAACAAATAGCAAATTTTAGAGAATTCAACTAGCAAAAATGAAATGTTTTGTGAGGATCCATAAGAAAATGAAAAACACCACTGGGTAGCAGTACTACTAAATATACTAATGAACACATTAATAATAAAAGGTACACAAATGTTCTGAAGCAAACATTTGGAATCATACTGTAGGTATATTTCTACTTGTTCATTCCTTTACTTTCTTTTCAACTTCCTTTCTTTCCACACACAAGTCCTCACATAATATCTTTTATGACATTCAGATGTCATATTAGTTTTACATTCATTCCAGTATCCACCACATTACTTGCATAAATTACTGCCAAAAGTAAATCAAAATGTTTGGAAAAAGGTGCTATTTAGAAGTACAGCCGCAGTACCGGTATCTTCCACTCTGTTAACCAACATTCTAAAAAGCATTCAAAACATGTAAAAATAAAAATGTCTTGCACCTGACCATGCTGAAATCATGTTAAACTTCCTTAATTTATTATATAAAACTTTTGTCTGTGAAAAAGTCCCCTTATTTATTTCACAGGTTTGGGAACCAATGGTAAAAATCAAGCTGCTGTAATACTACCATTTTTCATTCCCTTGAGAAACAAGTCCTGTTCACTATTAAACAGACTGCAGGTACCAATTGAACAAAAATGTGCACTTCACCTTCAGATTCGTTCACAAGCAGTAAGTGTGAGAAATTGTCTATTATGAGAGTCAAATCACATTGAGCTCTAATTGAACTACCATGGAATGTAGCAAAACAAAAACACCTAGTACACACACATATACTATTATTTTGCTACAAACTAATAGGCATTTTCTTCAATTGTTTCTTATAAAGTTCCATGAATGAACATTTAACTTTTGACAGCTGTTTTAAAAAGCTCTGGGGGTTATTTCTGGATATCTACCTCTTGTACTCCAAATGAAGATACTAAATGACAAATTTATTTAGCTCGCTATCACACAAACCGTTATTCTAAATTTCACAAAATTATATTTTGTCAGTTTCATATCTTACTGTACACATGAAATGCATTGTATGAAAGACTGAAAAAGCATGGTGAACCACACTATTAACATATTTGTACTAAAAGTGCAGTTAATTGGGTCATTCATACCTCAGCTGAAATTAACCGTGTGACTAGATATTAACTGAGGTAATATGACAGGAAAAATGTTCACAACACTGTATTTCACACAACCCCAGGATTCATTACCAATTTGCTGCACAAAGAGGCCAATGTTGTGGTGCTATTTCACTGCATAATACAATTCCTTCCACTGACCATAGAAAATCTTTTTTTTTTCATATAGTTAGGACAGGGGTTCTCAAATATTGCATTCCAACAAACTATTTCATTATAATTTCTATGTAAGATGAAACCAAGAGTTTCACAAATACTGTATAATTTGTTGCATTGCAATGCACTGGAACAAAAGATTTTAGAACAAATCAGTAGTTTCAAAATATATTACTTTGTATTGACATGAAGTAACAAAAATCTATTACTTTACATACTTAGTGGAATTTACACATATCAAAAACAGAAAGTACCACTCTCTTAATAAGATATTATACAAAATCCAACTTCTCCATTTCTTTGCATAATGTTTAATTCTAAAATTTACGTACATGAAACATGTAAATTTTCCTGAAAGGTTATGGAACTGTTTGAGAAACCCTGGCTTAGGACCTTTTTTAAACTATAAACAAGGAAAAGGACACATTGCTGTCCACAGATTCAGGTTACAGCCAAATGAACATACATTATAAATTTTCAATTTCAAAATGTAATTCAACACATGAGCAAATAACACCAAAGACTGGTAAGTAATATACAGAAACAGGAGAAAGCTTGGAAAGTAAATAAGGCAGCAATAATAGTTAAGAAAAAGTGAAGTACCAAAGAATGAAACAGCATATTTACATACTTACTATTTTCACCAACTAAGAACAAAATGACCTCTGCACTTGCGCCAATAACACACATATTTCAAAGATAAATATTCTTAAAAATTAACACACACATTAACATATTTACAGCTGAATATTAAAAACAACTACCTCTTCTTTGTTACAGTCCCTTTAATTTGTCCTTTCTTACTAGGTTTTTCTACTTTTAACACTTCCTTCTTTTTTTTTGCAGGTTGAGGTGAGACACTGCAGCATGTACATCCTTTTTTTATATGACCACGAAGTGATGACCGCCGAGACACACTAAGAGTATTCATCTGGGTTTCACACGGATTAGCGACCGGACAAATAGTATCTTTATCCAATAGCTGCTGCCGAGCAGAAACTAAGACATCTGCTTCCTCCTCTGGAGTTACAATTGTGGCTGCAGGCTTGTTGAAGCCAGCTACCGACGAAAGATAGTCACATTCTTCCACTTTCCTTGCACGCACTATCAATTTCCTATTTTCTGAGAAGGTAGACAAGTTTGAGGCCTGTTTGGTTGGCACATATGATTTAGACGGTTTAAGGTGAAATACACTCTTGAGTTTTTGCAGAGGACTCATATTGCTGCGACTTCCACTCCTCCTCCGTTTTCCAACTAAACCTGCCAAACCGGTTTCTGCTGAACAAGTATCGGCCTCCACAGTCTTCCGAGTTCCTCGTTTATTGTTTGGCACTTTCTTGCCTTCAGTCAAGTCTTTCTGTACTGAAAATGAAAAACTATCTTTGAGATCAACACCGTTTAAATTTATTGATTTTGTTTTGTCAAAGGGATCAGTACTTGAAATAACTTTTGACGATGATGATGTAGGCAAAAAGTTAGTAGTTGATGAGGGAAAGGAGTCATTGCTGATATCTACAACATCAACATCTGAATTAGGCTGGTCAGGTGTAGAGCTTTGTCCTTCAGTTCTACTCTGAGATCCTGAATCTTCATCATCGGCACAAGTCTTTTCCTGTGAACTTGATGATTCCCAGGTTTCTTGAGAGTCTATGTGGTCATTAAAATACTGATTGGGTCGATGTAAACGAGTTCTTTTGACTACCCGATCCACATCTTGCCGTCCTGACAAAGCTCTCTTACCATACGTATTGGTGAACTTTTGTGCAGCAGTTAAAGTTGGCAGAGGCTCCTGAGTGCAGGCAGAACCTTGTGCCTGTGCAGCAGTCAAAGAAGGAATACTAGGAACAGGTGATGGAATTGTAACATCTAGAGAAGACAACATCATGTTCGAAGCATACGAGTCAAGCATATTCACTAAATCTTCACTGGATCCTGGGTAAGTATTCGTCCTTGGGCTTGAAGATAAACTAACTTTTGAAGTAACAACACCAAATGACTTTAAATTTCCCGTTTCTGACAAAACCCCTTCTTTTGAGGCACTCTCACCCACTCCTATTTGAAGGTTCTTGTTAGTAATGCAAAGAGAATTAACTATACTTTTTGGTGATAATGAATGTTTTAATACGGTTCCATGATCGTCATCATCATCGTCATCGTCGTCGTCGTCGTCATCATCATCATCATCATCGTCGTCGTCATCGTCAGCCAGTCTCAGTTTTTTGGTATTTGGAAGAGGAGTGTCTGGAACAGATGTCCCTGAAGTACTTTCAGACATGTCATCTTTTGAAGCACCATTAGAGGAATCTTCCTGTAAAGTTGACAAGGGGTCATGAATTACTGCATCTTTATGCGAGCTGCCATTTATGGAACAGTCTTGCGTAAGACCATGCAGTTTAGACTCACGGTGTGAGTGGCTGCTACTATTCATAAGTCTTGCCTTGTCCCTACCAGTTACTCGACTTTTCCAGTCTATGACTGCACGCTTGCGCATGCGACGAGGACTTCGGCAACCATCCTGTCGCTTAAAATCAATAGGACTTCCACGCTGAGAGCCATCTTGACTGCTAGAAGAATACTCCAATGAACGAAAATTCGAGCATGAAAAGGTGTCTGTTGCCTGTACATCAGATGCAACAACAGTATCTTGAATATTTTGTTCAAAAGGAGGAGAGGAATTGGTATCAAGCAAAAGATCGGCTTCAGGGAAAAGATCACTTGTACTAGGTTCATCAACACCTAAATCCTCACATTCTTCAGACAAACTCTTTTGCAATTTCAATTCCTTTTCGATCTGCAAGAGCTTCTGCTGCATGTCAGTACCTGGCTTGTCAAGGCGAGAACTTGGTCCATCAATCTTTCGATAGAGAGCAGCCGATGATCCCCCTCCACTCTTTCGAGAAAGTGATTCTGTCTTGAAATCCAGCAGACATCCTTCTGGTTCCTGGGGAGAATCTTCCACCTCTGAGTTCTCTCCCAGCTGCAATGTTGGTCCCAGCTGGTCAGATGATGCATCCAGATCACTCTTTCGCATCTGTATGAGCTGGACTCTCTTCACCACAGGGACATAGCGCCAAGGTGTTTCACGGGTTTCTGCTGGCAATTTGGACGGTAACTGGTAAGTCACATCATTTACATACTCAAACTGGTAAGGAAACTTTGAAGAAGAGATATAACCTATTTCAGAAACTAAGTCCAAATGTGTGGGATTGCTTCTGCATTCTTTATTCTTTGACAGTGAAAAGTCTGACTTACTAGTATTCAGTCCAGAGGCCCTCTGCAGTTGTAAATCATTTGCTGCCACTCGCAAGTGGAGGGCCTCTGAAGCAGTACTGTCCAGTGCACTGCCTGTTGCACAGAAGGAGTCCTGTAGTGTCACTTGTGAATGTAAATCCTGGCTGCTGATGTTCCTGTTTCCTGCTTCCAGTGCTTCACTCCCAGCACTACTGCCCGTTACGAACTCCACTTCTTTCTTCAAAACTTGCACAGTCATAGAACCATGAGTTGCTTCATGCGAGAACAAATCTTCCGTCAGCGAGTCTGTAAACCCAAAACAAAGTGAAAATTTGCTATTCTTAATCAGAAATACAAATGAACTGCGTGAGCAGCATGCCAATTTGCAGCATAGGTCCTACTTTTTTCTTTTTTCTTTAAAACCTTTTTATTTTTATTTAACTCACCTATTTATTATCACCCAAAGCTGCAAGCATTGGCATTCTGCCAGTAGCAGAAACATTAACTTATGCAAACAGGAAATGCAAGAATTGCCACTTGTGAAAAGAACTCTATGACAGTTACATTACACGTTGTAGATCATAGCAAATTAAAACCTGTCGATTAAACCTGCAACTGGTGGTCTTAAAAACAGTAGAGCCATATGTATAATGAGGTTCAAAAGTATATTTCAATATTCTTAAGTAACCTGTCATAGAGTGTCTCTTAAGACTCATATGTATAACTGAAAGCGCAAATCACTGCCAATTAACTCACTGGAGTCCAATGCATTGGCAGCACTGCTGGGAAAAGCGAGTGGATCAGCCTGCAGCACTTGACTAGTAGAAGGAGCAGCTTCCAGCAGTTGGGAACTGGGTATCTTGTCAAGTGAATGGACTGGTGTTGTGCTGTTGCTGCTGCTGCTATTACCACCATTACTGCTGCTGCTGCTACTACTGTTGCTGCTGCTACTGCTGCTGCTGCTGTTGCTGCTGCTGTTGCTGTTGCTGCTACTGCTGCTGCTACTACTACTGCTGCTACTGCTGCTGCTACTACTACTGCTGCTGCTACTACTGTTTACACCACCCACACTGCCTAGTGTCTCCCTTGGGGGCGGCAACCCCTTTGCACTCAATTGTCTCTTCACATTTTCAGTAGACGTGTCCACAATTCTGTGAAGATGGCTACCTGGAAGGCTATCTTCTGCATTGTCCGATTCACTTTCAGAGCAGGGTGGGAGACTTAAAATCTCCGACTTAGCAACAGTTAAATCACACGTTTCTGTTAAACACTCTGGTAAATTATTGCTATTACGTAGAGTCACTGGTGTGTGTCTTGAAAAACCTAAGTTCAAACACTGGTAAGTTGTCATTGAAGACTGAGGAACATTGAAGTCTGGTTCTGGTTCCGCATCATGCTCAGGCTCCTGACCAGCCTCGTGTTCAGGTTCTGGTTCTGTTTTTGGTTCTGGTTCTTGCTTTGGTTCTTGTTTCACAGACTCTGTTTTTATTGTAGTAACAAGATCGTTACACTCACCAGTTGGCTCTTTCTTTACCTGCACTTCATCAGCTGGTCTACAGTCTTCGCTTTTTATATGAGTCAAAAGGGCTTTTGGAGAAATACCATGAATTCTATCAGGCTCCTCCACTTTCATCGCACTTGGAGATATCTGAGATGTATTAAAGGGCACTTTCTCTGCCACTGCAGCAGCTGCTAGAGATCCTGCCTGTTGAAATGGACTTTGCTCCCTTCGAGAAACTAAATTATCAGTACTTGAAGATGAAGCACCATCCTCTGTAGACATGATGCGTGAATCTATTCTATTGGTCGATTCAATTACATTGGAATCATCCCCTGAATCAGGAAATGAAAGCGTTTGTGAAGATTGCACCATCCCAGAGACTTGGCTAGCTAAATGGTGACTGCCTGGAGGAAGTACAACTGGGGGCTGAGCTGTAACACCTGTCAGAGTCTGTGAAGAAATGCTTCCCATTGGCAGTTTCACTTGCTTTACAGTAGGCTGGCCCAGAACTGACACAGCATTCCCTACAGCCCCAGATGCCTGTTTGCCACAGATCTGTCGTACCACTAAAGCTGTACCTTGTACTCCACTACCCCCAGGAGCTACTTGTAGTGTCCCACTCCCTGGAGTCACTTGCAGTGTGCCACCTGGCAGGGTAACCTGATGCACACGAATTACTTTGGTCGAGCCTTTTGACATCACCACTTGCCGACCACCAACAGAAGCCGTTAATCCTGGTGCCATTGGAACAAATACCTGTCGCACACCACTTGGCATGTACAGAGGAAGCGTAACAGGCTTACCTGTTAAAACTGTTGCACTAGAAACAGTTACTTCAGAAGAGTCTTGCCCACTATCCTGCATTATTACTCTACTCTGAATGCCAGCAGTGTCTATCTGAATGATGCGGGGTTGTTGCCTATCTGAAGAAACACTGGTTTCAGGGGCTTCAGTTTTCACTGCAGCTGTACACTCTAGAGGCACTTCTGTAGAGGGAGTGCGAGATGTTTGTGGTTCTTCAGTTGCAGTTGATGCTGAAGCAGGGGAGTCTTGAATGTGGGACAATTGCATAACACCACTTGAACTGTCTTCACTTCCCATTGTTCTTGGATCATCTGCACCTGGACTCATTTCAATTGCTGTTGATGTGGTTTGATGACCCAAGAGCTTCATCTTCGTCTGATTGGACTTCTTACGTTTTGATGACTGACTAGGATTGGTAGGAGGATTCGAGCGTCGACGTGGAGCAGGTTTATTATTTAAATCTGGAGAGTTCCGAAGTTGTTCTGCATATTCATCAAGTATTGCATAAATTCTTTGAGCTGTTTGTTCATCTTCTTGTGGTTTCTGTTGAGGTTTGGGGACAGGGGATGCCTTTGAGGCAGTACTAGAAGGACTAGATTTCAGCGATTTTGATTTAGAAGATTTAGCTGGTTTTGGAGGGGTTTTGTTTGCTGTTGCTGAAGGCATGGGAGCTGGAGTGACACATGGGCTTGAGGAACTCTGAGATGTCACACTCAATGCTGGAGAAGCAACAGGCTGACAGTAACTCGTGACAACAACAAGAGGAGAAGAAATTTTTGCCGCAGAGACTGGAACTGAACTAGAAGATCGTAGTGTTGGAGCTTGACTAACATATGCTACTCTTGTAGTTGTAACTGTAGAGAACTGCTGTGGATAAGATGAGGCTGATGAACTCGCAGAGTTTGATGTAAAATCTGATCCTGGATCAGTAGTGGTTGGAGCTTGAGTTAGTAGCAATTGTTGTGTAGTTAGAGTATCAGTCTGAGTTTGAGGCTGGGCTGTATTTCGTTCCTTCATTTGAGATGTATTGGTTACTTGTTCCAAAACAGACTCAAATTCACGCAATTGTTCCAAAGTAGTTGAACTAACGGATGGCTCAATGGGGTTATGGGCTGCCATCAACGTGTCTGTAGTACCAACAGTTGGAGTTGCAAGACGAGATGTGATATTAGATGTAGTGGAGACAGAAGTGACAAGACCTGTTGGAGTGTGAGGTACTTGTTGGCGCAAAGTAGTGATGCCAGCTGCTGTTGATTGTGCCCCAGCCACAGCAGCTGCACTAGTACGTGTTAAAAGGTTACCTCCTGGGATTTGAAGAACAGGTCGCACAACTCTCGTCTGAACTGTAGTACGAGTTCCACTCTTTTGAAGAACAGGAAGGGTGATTCTTTGAACCATGGGAACAGAGGATATCAAAGTCTGCGTAGCCGCATCAGTGCCCTCTTCATCAGATGATGAACTTTCTACAATGCAAACTTCTGGTTCAGCTGGCAAAGTATTAGAACTTGAATTTAATGAAGTAGTAATAGAATTACTTGTACTAAGACTGCCTGTCAACTGAGATGCAGAATTAACAGCTGAACTGTGGGACGATGATGGAGTCAGTGTTGAATTTACAATTGCAGTTGCAGTTCTATTTTGAGGAGTTCCTTGTAAAGCAGCAGCAAGTAAAGCACTCATACTACTCACATTGTTACGAATGACACTATCTTTGTTCGTAAGAGTGACAGGGGCTGATACTGCAGGAGTTCCAGGAGCGGCCGGTGGTACAACAGGAGTTGATGGAACAGTCTCTTCTAAGCTCTGCGTTTGTTGTTCTGTTGTCTGCTTCAAGGAATTACTTCTGGGAGTTGATAAGGTAGCTGTATTGCTAGTTTGTAGGAGTTGGTTTTCAATGCTGGAGGGAATCTGTTGTAAATCATATAGAATTTGAGAAGGTGACTGCACTCTCGCAACTGCAGCAGCACGTGCTGGACGTTTCAATGCATTTGCAACACTCCGAGACACTGCTCCTTGTGTCAATGCCACCACCTGCCCAGTAGTACTCAGAGTGAGTGGACTCATTAGGACATTTAGGGTGCCTGTTCCGCTGCTCTCTCCCTGCTGCAGTCTGGTCAAGGTAGCTGCTGGGCTGCTTGTACTTGCTATTCCTGTTGTTTGGACAGCCTTTGAGAGCACTGAGCTTGTGGAAGACACCATAGGCTGTGGTATCTGTTCCACATTTTCAGATGGTGTAGATGTGGAAGTGGATCTTGTATTCTCCTCTCGAGAAGCAGTACTGTTTCCATCGGTGGAAGACCCAGAGCTAGTTTGATTATAAATTGATTTTCCAAATGCATGCTGAAATTTTGGTAAGCTAGCCACCTGTGATGACAAGCCTTGCTCTGAACTCTCAGTAGAATTTGTTTTAACAGTAACATTAGAATTCAAAGAGTATTTTCGAAAGTTTTCGTCAAAAAGAGCATGTGCTAATGCACTAGCCTGTTGTTCATTGCTTATTCCAGATGCATTTGCAGAATGCTGGACAGTAGAATTGTTACTCTCTGAAAGAGTTACTCTATTACTTTGAGCACAAAGAAGAGGTTTGATATGAAATTTTTGTCCATCTTTTTTGTATAATAACTGCACCATATGAGAATCTTGAGCAGTAGTTTGACTATCAGTTGCATTTTGAGATGCACCTCCAACAGAAGATATTAAACTTGCAAACAGATTTATATCAACAGCCTTTACAATAGGAAAAGATTGACTGGCTGTTTGGGAAGTATCAACCTGTGAGAGGGCGCTGGAATTTTGTTCTGTGTCCGATGTTGTAGGAGGTTGACCAATTTTCTGTATATGAGCAGTGACGGGTGTACTTCTCAGTATTTCATTAACTTCATTGGCTGTTGTTAAGTATTTAACTCCAGTATCTGCTCTTGATTTTGATACACTGGTTTCTGAACTACTGTGAGCAATACTTGACTGACTATGGGCTGAGGAGTCAATGAGAGTACTGCGTAAAATTTCATTTACTTCACTTGTTGAAGTCAAATACTTCACGTCTGTTTGAAAGCTATGTTTTTTCTCCATCAAGGAACTTCCTTGAGATGACAGAGACGTAACAGATTGTGACAAACCTCCCAGAGAACTACGTAGAATATCATTTACCTCATTTGCTTTGGTCAGGTACTTTACACTCACTTGTGAATTACTAGATTTCTCTTTTTCTTGTGTGGAGCATGAAGATGGCTGTCCTGAATGGGAAACATAAGTTTGGTTGTGTTCATGGTCTCCTTGTGAAGAAAAGGTAGGTGTTGGTGCCAATTCTCTATCACTAGAGCTAGCTGTTGTGTCCAAAAAATTTGTTGAACTTGTTGTTGTAGAGGCGTTTGATGATTGAACCTTTGACTGGTTGGCATCTGTAGAACTAACACTTTGATTACTTGTAGGTGGATTCTGTGGAAGCTGCACCACCTGTACTGTAGGCTCAGGAGGAGCTGGAACAATCATATCCAATGAGTTTAAACCAGGAACTGATTTTGCTAACAATTCACTGTCAATAACCGACTGTGCAATAAATTGCAGCCTGTGTTTGTTCTTCATATTCCCTGTCACTGAAAATTCTAAAGGGAATTGGTTTTTATTAACTACATATATATTTTTGTTGCTAGAATTAGTCTTGCGACAATGTAATTCATGGTTATTGTTGTTATTGTTATTATTTGAAGATGATTGTTTGAAGTTTTTTAAATCAGGATGTGTAGCATCAGTCCTTGTTAATACTATTCTTGGATTTAAGTTTAATGTACTAAGCATAGGAGCAAATTCCACACTGTCTTTGGTATGAACACGGTTACCTTTTAGCATTTCAGTCAAGCAATCTCGAGGTGAAGACTTTTTGGCATTATGTGGCCTGAACATTCTAAGCGATTTTAATACAGTTGGATCACTGGACTTCTTTTCAGTCTGATTTAAGATATCATCTCTCCTAGGAGAGTCAAATACACGTGAAAATTTATTTGTACCATTTTTCCCATTTTCGTCCATCTGAGAAAGCAAAGACATCATATCACTGTTGGACAGATCACTATTTACATCATTATGATCTTCATCCATCATCACTCGGAAGTGAGATAAATTTTTCAAGTTATCTTGCCTATACCTCTTGGCAGCAACTGGTTCTTCATTCTTCCGAAGCTTATTTTTACTAACTTTGGTAAAACAATCACTACTTAAACTATCTGGTTTACTGTCTTGTGTACCCGTATCTGTATCTGATATGGAGAGAGAAGCAACTCTTTGCCTTGTCTTCTTTGTTCCTCCAGATTCATAATCCGATTCCGAGGACACCAAACGATGTACTGACTTACGGCCTCGGGACTTACCACTTTTTCTTATTACTGAAGAATCAGATTCAGATTCACACTGCCTTTGGTGTTTCTTATATCCTGGGTACTCATATTCTTGGTCAGATGGGTCACTGCTAAGATCTGCCCATTGCTCATATCCTTTTTCTATGCCACCATAATTGTCTTTATCTTCATCACTTGGCCAATCTTTGAATTGATTATAATCAATATTAAGAAATTTAAGTTCTTTAGCTGTATTCCTCATTTCTTCACAATTTTCTAAATACTTTTCACATCTTGTGCTAAGATCAGACCAGTCTAAAACCCAACTTAAAGTTTGATAACGCGGACTGCTTAATACTACGGCGAGATCATCACATAACTGAGGTGTAAGTCCCAATGCTTCAGCATCCAACACTTTATTAGGTTGACGAAGCACATCATAGTCTAAAGACTCTGTTTTAATAGCTTTTTTGACATATGCAGTGTTACTTATTTCTCCACTAAGCATGTTGCTAGCAGAAGGACCCATAGAATCACAAGAAACAGCAGTTGGATATCCACCAACAAATTTACCACAGTGTGGACACAAGTCTCCAAGCTGCTGAGCAGAACATGATCCGAACATATTGAGAGGTTTTTTATCCAAAATTTCTTTGGATCCTTGGCTCAACAGATCTTTATTTCGGAGAGACTTGCAGGAACAAATAGGTGTTTTGGATCCATCTGGATAAGATTTACCACGAACAGAGTTTACAGGAGAGACAGATTCATTGTTTGATGTACCTGGATTGTGTCTTTGTGAAATATCAGAACGAACATTGGAAAAATTTACTACACATTCTCTATTATCAAATTGCATTTCATGACAGTTGGAGGATCTAATTGTTCCCTCTTTCTCAGAGTTAACATTTGTATCAATAGGATTCAAGATCATTCTGATATTGTTTGGTGTTTCAGAGGCATTTGAAACTTGTCCAGTATCAACTTGTATGTCGCATATACCCAGTCTTTCATCAGCGTATTCTTCTTTCACTTCAGTTTTCACAGCAACATTGTTTATTATCGATGCACTTTGTTCCAGTCTTGTTTTTTCTGGATTGGGACACTTCCCGGAAGCAACAGCCATAGCTTTAATTTTGTCAAAACACGACCTGGTTGGATTGAGAGAGAATGCTGTAAGAATACATTCTCGACACACCCCCACATTGTCCTTCACTAATTCTGCCAATCGAAGAAATCCATCAGATAAACGCAGCTCTGCTTCATGAACCTTTTCCTTGTCGTGCTTCACTTTTTGTTGCTCCAGTTCGTTCATATCAGTTGTCAAACCTCTTATGTATAATTCTATACATATTGGTTTCAAGGCATCACCAAACTGTAAAAAAAAAAAAAAAAAAAGCAGAAGGTAAAAACATGGTATATTTAAAGTTACAAGTAATACCAAAACTCAGAAGTTTAATGTTGAAACAATTTCTTAAATGAAACATAAATAGCTTTCTTTACATTAAAAGTTCAACAATCAGGGTAACGCTACATACAGTATAATGTCATTTGACATAAAATAATTTCATTATAAGATCTCTACTGCTATATCTATTATGTTCAACTTCATAGAGCTCTACCAATATGAACTGATATCTTTATTAGAGACCAGTTTTTTATGTAATTATTATTTGTTAATTACTGTATGTATTATTTGCCCTTCTTCTTACCATTCTCAATACTGTAATCATGGCAAATCATCACCGTCCTAACAATATCCAATTTTTTTTTTACATATTTTTACATATTTAGGACTATACATCATATTTTGCCATTTTCACAAAATATGTTTTATTATATCAACTTTCTTCAATTTAATTACATATTTTGTATAAGAAGTATTTAAAAAAAATCAGATTATCCCTACATTATTACAACAAACTGTCTACACCAGCTATGATAATGTGAAGACAGTCAGATGTTCTCAGTCTGGAGCGCCTGTTTCTGTTATCTCCGTTGCAGGAAGATCATTTTACCGCCACTGAAATCACTGCAAAACAGTGACCGAGATAATTTCCCCCCTTAGATGTCAAAAGTATCACTGACACTATGTCGTGACCTTTAAACTTTAATTTCCGAGAAACTGTCAATTGCCATCGGGTAAAATTCAATTACAATGCTGCATGTTGCTGGTCATAGATATTGCCAGTTTGTATGATTGTGTCTAGCCAGCCTGCTAAACTACAGTTCTATGGTCCCGGATGATAACAGACGAAGATTTTACTACTGACGGGAAAGTTGTGTGGTGCAAAGTGTGCATCAACTTGTTTCCAAATGATTTTTAAAATGTTTGAATAACTTGTTTTCAATACATATTTATGTACACATTTTTCCGGTCTCCAATCATTACAATCTAGAACATGTGAAAACATCTATGAAATGTAGAGAAAATTTTGACATGCAATGAAAATGTCTACTGTTTTTTAAGAAAAGAGTAATGATCAATCGTAATGAATTCACCAACTTTGCAAGAGAAGAAATGGATACTCATGATTGAAGCCTAAGAATTTTTGAAGATATGTTGAAATAAAAAACAATAATTCAATAAAAATTTTATAAAAATAATTGCCATAATTGACTTCTTCACAATATTCAGACATGTAAGGTTGAATAAGCAACTCGCACCAACTCCTGCTAATCAACAGTAACAACAACAATTATTTATTATTATTATTATTATTATTATTATTATTATTATTATTATTATTATTATTATTATTATCATCATCATTATCATTATTATTATTATAAAAATAATAAAAGAACAAGAATATTGCAAGTATCAAATTTGGTCATCATTCAAAACTAAATTGCTGCCAAAATGAAATTTACATGAATATCTCAATATCTGCTCAGATTTCTCAATAGTAAAATATCTATGCAAGCAAATGATCATATATCTTGTATGCCGGAGACAGAAGAGAGCAGTTTATCAATCATATGCATGGGAATTTTTTCTAGAAGTACTGTAAATATTTGTAAGAGAGAGGAGCCTATACAACGTTCAAACTTTTTAAGAACTTTCCCCCTTTCATATTATTTAAATCGATGGATTTTCTTAAAACTGCCCTAAGCTACATCAAGTATATTCCAAGAAATAAGATAAAAATGACAATACAAAATCATTTGCACCACAATACTTGCACCAAACATAATAATTGATATACCAGATATGTTAATAGGATTATTTGAATATTGCCAAAAATGTGGCACAAGTCTATCTACACCAGATGGCAAAAAAAATTGAGATAATCTAATTTCACAATGTGAATGCAGTGCAATGACTCAATGATTTCAAATAATCTTTATTAATCCAATTCTCTCTGTTAAATGCAACATCTGTGAAATAAAATCAATAATTTTATTGTAAATATAAATACTTTTAACTTCAATTATAGAATTGTTACATACCACTCTTGACTCTAAAATCATTTACATTTTCAAAAAAGGAATCAACATTTAAAATTTAAATATCAAGTTTTCACCATATTATTATATTATTTATTATTATCATTATTCATCTTAATAAGTGCAAAAAACATGGACCAACTTTCAAAAAATAATTTCCAGAAATAATACACACAGAGTAATTTTCCTGAAGACAAACTTCCTTACTGTAGTCCTAAAATATTACAAAGCATGGTGCCAAAGAACTTTCAAATTCCTTCCTTAATTGTGGAAGTAAAATTAGCCTTTATGATTGGGCAAATCGTTAAAAGAGGTATAAATAAAATATTCAGGGAGTTTTTAAAATATTTTGTGAAACATTTATACATTTCTTTCTGCACAATTTAAAAATGGAGTCTGGCAAGTTTTCAATTATCTTAAAAAATGTATATTATATTTTCAATTATTGTGTAGTAAAACATATTGAATTATATTTATATGAATCATTAGAATTTGTATTAGCTGAAAAATCCTCCATTGCCCAGATTTTTATTAATCATAATCCTGTATTTGAAGGAATGAATTCTATTAATAGTGTCCTCCCACCATGCATGGTCTTGATACACTGTGGTTCTGGATGATGCAGTGTCCCCTCCCCATCTCACCCAACCTCACCGTGCCCCATTCCACCTGCACACTGTCTTGTCCCATCGCACCTCGTTTTGTGTCCCGAGACCCTCCTCTGCACCTTTCTAATAATTTTTTAAAAAATGGCAAAAATTTGCTCTCTTACAAAATGTTGATTTATTTTAGTGTACTTTGTATCAAAATAATGTTTCTTTTTAAATAAATTTTAAATAAATCCACATGAACTGTGGAGGACCTCTTAATTGTTAATCTAGAACTTGAAATTTTAACATTCACATTTTTGTTTCTGCTGTTCTTGCTTGTTACTTAATGAACAATACAACACATGTATTATGCAAGATGTACAATGGACTGCAGAGATAGATACAATGATTGAGCTTGCAGAACTTCACAATCATTATCTACAATACAGTATACTAATGAAATGGATGTGGAAAACCATATTCAATAAACAGTCTGAAGCAAGTGATCCACAGTATGATAAAGAGTTTGATAAACATGAAGGAGTGCTTCCAGATTAAGTTGTTTATTAGTGAAAGTAAGAAATGTGCTCCTGCAATGATATTCTTGACAGTGTATTTTATAACAAGCACCTGGTCCTACTAATTACATCATAAATGTTAAAACTGAAGTCGGTAGCTTTCAGCTATTCATTTTGAAGAAATACTGGACATAGTTTCAGAAGAAACAAATAGGCATTGCTAGATTAAGCGAAATATGACAATTACTGAAGGAAAAAAATGCTAGTCACAAAGCATAAGAAGTAGAATTGTGAGCATAGATACTCCTATATGCAACACACCTGCTGATGAACTTACGTCATACATACACAACTTAGCATGCCATTTTCTATTATAACGTCCTGTCAGCGATTTGAGCAAATTGCCTGATTTATAAAAATTGATTACAGAGCAACACAAGCTCTAAGAATTGAAAAATAACTGGAGACAAACTCCAAGCAATAGGAAAAGATTTTTAGTTGGTGGTTTAAAAGGTGTGTCTAGTCATCTAATCTGCATGCATTTATGTTCACTGACACAAGATTGGCTGTACAAAGAGGATGGTGTCCTTTTCAGGGTTACATGAAGTCAAAGCCTTGAAAATATGGAACAAAAATCTGGATTTTTGGTGACTCGTAAAACAGGTACTGGCAAAATCATTAAGACAATAGAAGAGAGGTGTTGTAATTATTAGAACTTCTGAATTAGACCGGTAGAGGCATAGCATTTTCACATTTTGTAGTCTAGCAGATCACTTTCTAAAGGACTTGTGTTGAAGCAATCAGAAAAATATGCAAGATGTGGTCAAGTATTTCCTGCCTTCATCACAAAGTAAGCATTTCCCCCCCCCCCATTTTGAATTTTTCAATATTCAGTAAAATCTATTAAAGCAGTAATCGCTCAAAAACCAAAAAAAATCCCATTTTGGGAGGTTTCTATTTTATTCAGTGTTCATTGATTTTTAAACTTTCTTGATATTGGTTAGTTTTGCATTGAAACTAAGAAATTACATAACTTTGTGATTAAATTACATGCACATATATACTTATAGAGTAGTACATATGTAGCACATATGTACTTATAGAGTAAAATGCCAATAATTTAATATTAATAATGAAATATTCTTACTTTTTGAAAATAAAAAGAGCAAACATTACAATTCCCACACTACAAAGTTACCTTCTCAAGATTCACCCAATGTTTTTGCTTTTTAACTTTTCCACTCGCTAACACATTTTAAATTAGGGTTATTGTCAGTTGCGTAGGCTTCTGCGTCCAGAGTTTGTGTTATCTAGGCTATCCAGAACACTGAAGTAGCTTTGATTATTCAGTTATTCAGATTAAGCAGCAAGTGCAAACTTTCCTCAGTGTAGAACAAATTGCAGAACTTTGGATAATTCATCTCCGACTGACGGTTATGTTCCTCGAGGTGATGCAGGGCAACAGAGAGACATTTCGACTTTCTCTGATGCTGAAAGCGGGTAGAGGGTGAAAACATGCAACGGGGTGCCCCTTGGTCAAATACTGAGCAAGGTTTCTCGGCAAGTAGACCACATAGTCTGAGCTTTGAATACAGAGCTGATCTTTATGCGGAGTCATATGTTACACAGTACAGCCCAGCCCCCTTTCTTAAGCTGATCTGCTGTTGCGACAAAATGGGATGTCATGGGAACAGATAACTTAAAACTGTCCTGCAGATACATTCATTATGAGTTCGTCTCACCACTCCTACTCCACCAAGTTCTTTATTCATAGGAATTCTATTTCATAAAAATGATTTTTCACTTGCAGGAAATGAAAAATGGTTTGTTTCTACAGAAGTTCTATTTTATGCTTTCCAGAATTTTCTAATTAAGACTGGTTTCTGGATTGTGCAGGGTCCGGCTCAGATACATTTACTGTACTACATTTTTCCGATTTATACAACAGTTCTAGTACAATATTGTACGGTGATACACAATGCATACAATTAAACATATTTTTCTAAGGCAATGTACCTGAGATTCTGTAACATTATTTGGGGGAAGGGATGAGGTCACTTAGATCCCTCACATTTCTATGCTCTAATATCGTGCTTGGCCATGCAAGAGTAAAAATATGTGATTTCAATGTTAAGGGTGCTTATAGCTCATTATTTACTAGACAGGGGAAAGAAATGCAGTAGATCAGAAGCATAGTACAGTTCTTATCAGACTGAAAGACTAAGTGCAGTAAAACTTCACAATTCCAAAAGCCCCAAGCTGCCAAAATTTGCTAGGAATTCACCACTATTTGTGAATGCTGCTATTGTCATTTTAAGAGATGTGGCTCCGCAAGGGTTTGTGAAGCTGAATTGACTCTCCAGGATCATTACATCTTAAGGTATGACAGAAGTCCAGCTACCAGTTGTTTCTTGTGAGGTGGGGGCATCACAATGTGAATCCATCATAGGTTTAACTGAGTTGACATTAAGACTGAACAACCTTACTGAACAGAAATTTGTAAACCTGAAAATGTCACGTGGTGATGTAATAATTGGAGAGCTATATTGTTCTCCTAACGTGCTACTCAAGACATATGTAAGTTTTGTTGAATCTATTGAGATCTCTGAACAAAATCCATAAGCCAAGTTCATAATTAAGAGAGGCGCAGTGGTATTTATAAAATGATAATCTTATTAGTGAACTTCACGACACGTCAAGGAGAGAGAGAGACATCAGTGAACTCTTAGAAAATGTCTTCAGCTATGTTAACCTGGTGCAACTTAAAGTGGTAGCTAATGATTTTGGTAATGCCTTGATTTCTTATTTATGAAAGATCACAACAGTATAGTAAACAAGTGTGATCACTTGCTTGTTTCATATGATCCTTATCACCCTGCTTTGGAGTTTTTCCCAACATTTTCAGACTGACCATATAACAGTACACAGTGAATGGAATTAAAATTTTAATCTGGCTGACTACAATGCCATTAGTAGAGAGATTTTATTATTCGACTGGCTTAAATACATTGAAACTAAGACTGTAGTATCTTCTGACCCACGCTTCTACAATTTTCATTATATATAGATTGATAAATATGTACCATATGCCCAATCTACATATACAGTTTAGTATTCATTAGAACTGATGGTACTTTTAGATTAAAAATTAACAGCTCATAATCAAAACAGAAAAAACATTATCTGATGTGTGTTATCAGATTTTTCAGATCTACGTAGAAAATTTAAAACTAAAGCATGTAACAACTATGCAACAAGGAGGTGCCATAGGCTAATTCAATAAAATGTTTCAAGAAATTAATAGCAGATGTTCAAATAACTAAAACCTTCCAACTAGGAGTGTACTCTCACTGATTATTTTGGATTGATTATCTACATTTTTATGACTTCAATACAATTATAGGGCATATGAATTATGAAAAAAGTGGTGAACACAAATAGATAGCACAGCAGTGAAGTGTTCTCAGATTTTCAACACATCCAAAAGAGATGAAATTAAGCTGCTTATGTAAATATAGGTATTCTTATTAGTAGGCTAACTACCTGAAAGAAACAATTGAAAGATTGAAATCAACACACACTTGATTAAAGATGATTAACAGATTTCCTTATATCAAGAAAATGTGCCAACTTTAAAATTCCACAATCTGAAATCCTTTCATCGTTACAAGATGCATTTGAAATATTTGGAGGAAATGAAAGAAAATAAATCTTGATTCTAAGAAAGTCCCTCAGAAACTAGTGATTCTAAGAATGTTCAAAAATTAGTTAAACAAGTTAAGTTACACAGAATACATTGAACAACTAGGTAACAAATTAGCGAGACCGTAAATATATCATAGTTCTAATATTGAGCTGTATCGAAAAAAGTTAGTTTTTGAGTCGTGACACTTTTCTACATGTGTGATATGATGCTTTTAATGCTGATAATAAAAAGTTTCGGTTGTAATTCACCACATTCATCAGTTGTTTCATTTTGTTATGAAAGACCAGTAATTATCAGCCAAAACACCTAGAGCAATTCATATCTTGAGAATATAATTAATAATAATAATAATAATAATAATAATAATAATAATAATAATAATAATAATAATAATAATCTCATAAAATTTATACAATTTTTCATTCTACAGTAAATAAGCATACTCTCCTTGGCAGAGCATAATATAATTACAGTAAAATATTTAAAATATACATATAGAATTATTGAATATAATGAGAAAAGTGTATGTTAAGCACTATTGAGGATAGGTGTTATTTAGAGGAACATTATCAAATATCCACATATGTGTAGTTAAAGTAAGAAAGAATCGATGTCGGAGAAAGGCTTGTAAAGAATATGTTGTTCAAAGTCCAAAATAGTAATGGTTTTACAATTTAAAACATCTGAATTTAAAGTCTGAAAAATGTTTACACAGTCTTCAAAAAATAAATTGATTTCTTACTTCAGAATGCCATTCTAATCAAATTATATAAGAACTAATTGTTTCAATAGCCATACGAAAGTTTTAAAACAGAAGATCAAAAAACTAAACTGTATTCCTTCTGTTTATTACTATCTACCAACAAAATCTTGGCCACATCAATTTGTAGTAATCCAACATTATTAAAAGCATTTTAAAAATGTACATGTGGTATCTTTATGATTTGTAGGTATCAAATGAGCTTACCTGTTGCACAAGCACCTCGCAAAATGTGTAAATGTGGATGGCAGACTCGGCTGGAAGAATCAATTTTCGTATCATTTTTGGTAACGTAGATACTGATGGCACCCTGCTATGGAGAATGGCCCATTCAGCCATTAGATCTTTGAGAAGAGAACCAGTTTCACTGACAGGCTTAACCATGGCCACTGTAAGGAAGTACTGAGCTACCAATTCTGCCACTTTTCCACTCTGCTTCCACACTCTGACACTCATGGTTTCTCTTTTGCAATATCGACGAATAAGGATAAGTCCTTCTTTGAGCTCTAAGCGTTTTAACTGAAAAACAAAAGAATAATAATTATAATTCAAAGATCGTATTTCAGATGTCAGAATGTGGCTATGAAAACAAAACGTTCCAAAATAAAATTGAGTTTCATAAACAATAAGTTACAAACTTACATATTTAATAATGTCTTGTATCCGCTTAAATCTGTACAATAAGGACACATAAAGGTCCACAAAGTACGATAATTGATCTTCTGTGCTTCCCTCATGTAGTCTTGATCCTTGAAGATTTAAGCATCTAATTATCACTTCTGCAAGTCGTAATGCCAAATCTTCACATCTTGATTCACATAATTTTTCTAGTCGCATAGTCAATACCAATCCCATTTCCGAGTGGCATAGATCAAGTACTGCAACAAAATAGGTTTTCTTTAAGGTGTAATTCAACAATTCCATACCATTTGTTTTTATTGCGCATTGTGGCACTGATGGGGAATATGTATAGGATATTGAATTCTTGAAGAACTAGAGAGGAAAACCTTGTCTTGTAGCCACATAAAATCATTTATGCTGTTTGAAGTAATTAAATGATACACTTGAAAAAGAAAAAAGGCCGTAAATTGGAAGCCACACAGTCAAGAAGTCACACGAGACCACATAATTACAAAAATCTGTCCTGAATCAGGGCTGTTGTACGTTTGAAATTTCCAAAATCCCTCATGTTTCTGTTTTCCAACCAGGTTCCCAGGGTTGAAACATTCATTTTCCACATTAATTTCTTGACTACTTTGCAAAAGCATAACTCTTTAGGTGTGCAAACCCAAATTCAATTAATTAAAATGGAATGAAAAAATGTTCTTATTTCATTATATGAAAAATTAAGAACTCTCAAAACAAGAGTATACTTGAATAATACAAATTCAGTTCATGAAATTGAATTTGAATTTGCATTTGCATTGTCAACTGCAATACATCTCTAACAAAATGTATTCCTCAAAATATTAATTTTTAAATATAATTTGTGTATTTATTTTGAAATTCTGATGAATGAACTGTAAATTCATAGTTGAAATTATGTAAATATAAGAAGTTAATTAAAATTAATATAACTGATTATTATAATAATTTAAAATCAATTGATTATTTAATATTTTCATTAAATAAATAATTTCCCCAAAGTTTTATAATTACATTGTAAGACTTTTTCCAGGTGAACAACCGCCTTAGTAGCTGAAATGCAACACCATCCACATTCAATTCACAAGTAAAATAAGGCAGATTTAAAAAGCGCAAATACAAACGACTTATCATTCATCCACTAACTGCTCATTTCATACACTTCTGAATCTTCTTCAGAGGTGAAATTCTATATTTATAGATGAATGGAATCTGAAAAGATTTAGTCAGGATCTTTGATGCCCAAAATAACACACAGATAGTTTTCTATGACCAAAATAAGTAGTTGTCCAAGTGATGCACGTTCTCCCAACACGAGTCAAAAAGTAGTTGAATTCAACACAGTTCAAACACAATCATAAGCATGCTATTCAGCTTTAGCAGCACACACATCTTAGTGGACAAAATTCCCTCACAATTCTCTGCAGGAATTTTTATGCCAGACGCTGACATATCATATTCTACTCCCCACAAACAGGCTAAAAGAAAATCCACAACACATGGACTTGAGTTAAGATTTTAGTTAACTGAAGGCCACAAGCTATTTAAAATTAATAGAAGATTTTTGTAACTTTTATACATGCAAATACATTACAAGAAGGCCACTTCAGATAAGATCTCCTAGTGATTTATTAAAATGCAACTTCCTCCTTATTTTGGAATGCTAACATTTAGAATTTTAAAAACTCTTATTCCTCTCAATGTGTAACATTATCTGAAATGAGCCATTTTTACCTTGAATTTAAGTTCACACCACATTAAAGTTGACAAGATGATTAATAAGGTTTGGTTAAAGAATACCACTATTTCAGAAACTAGTATTTCCCATGCAATTTGAATACTGCTTGCATCATTAGATCACAGGGTTTAAAAACAATTGTTTCAATTTCGTACAAGATACTGAAATCTTATGCAAGAATTTGATACCAGGAGAGTTCTACTGCTTCTTCACAAACTATCATAGTGACAAAAATATATATCGCCATCATGCAATACTTTGTGTCAGAGTGATTGTAAGACTAATTCAAATCTCATCCTCCTTGAAACTGATGACAGGTCTACTAGTCAATAACAAGCAAAAGAACCTTGTGTTATCCAATTACACACAATCCATGAGATGGGAAACGTGACTTTTGGTTTTAAACACTGTTGACTTGGGCCGATGAAAAAAAAAGAAGTATTCATAGTTATCAAGTTTTCTGCAAATTTAAATAATTTCAACACTAAGGATTTTTAACAGGTTTTTATCAGGTTTCAAAAAGCAAAGAGCATGTGTTTATCACTAACACATTTTTATCAGGTTTTCACAAAGCTTCCCATTTCTCACCTCTTTATCAACATTAGACCTAGTTGTTGGACAATGAATGGGTAGTGTTTTTTATTTAATGGCATACCCAAAAATTCAATGTAGGGTGCCTAAATTCACCCTAAGATAAAAATTGAACATATTTAATTTTTATGATTTTTTCCCCTTGATGCACTATGGAATTTTTAAATACCAACATACATTTCATAGATGTATTAATTAACACTTCAAGCGTGACCAGCCACTCAGGCTGGATCCCCTCCCTCTCATTGTGATTTCCACAGCATCCATAGACTGCTTTCTGTTTCATCCCCATAAGTCATATACTCTGCATAAATGTGTGTTATACTATTAAATTTACCAATTTCGTTATTACTGAATATTAATTCAAAATAGTCCATTAGTGTAATATTTTTGAGAATCAAATAATTTGGAAACATTTAGAATTCTCCAAGTTTTGTAAATTTCTCTCCTCACACTATCCATATCACTCTTTACTTTCCTTAACTTTAAATTTTTCCAAAAAAATTGTACATGATATTTCTCAAAAGATCAATGAAGACAAAAATCTCCATCTTATATATCGTAATTTTGGAATGTTAACTTTTTGCAAATGCAGTGAGTTCAGTAGAAATTGAACCACATTTACAGAAGAAAAAAACGTTTTCTTTCAATACTGTCGTAGAAAGTCAACACCAAAAATGTTTAAACTAATGCAATTTCCAAAAACTCAGAAATTTCAATGAAAATGAGACCTGGCCCATTCTTTTAAAAGTCCTTTACAAATATTTAACACACTGTCTAAGGTTTTCACTAAGTTAGGAGCCATTTTGAAGAAAATTTTGAAAATGTTGTGGCTTTATGTAAAGTATCCCCCCAAATCAAAATATACTTTTTAAACTCAGTGAATCGATTTCCTTTAAATTGAGCAAGGAATACACCAATTTTGGAGAAAATCGTCTGAACGGTTTTGGTGCTAGCGTTGACCACAGGCAGACATTGTCGTCAATTAAGTTTTCATTATTCATGACTAGCAAACCATTAATTATGAATACACAATGCATTAGCAGCAGTAATTTTCTATATGTAGGATTAAGATTTATCCACTTTTTCATTACAAAGGCCCAGATATAATAAAATTTTCTATTGATAATTCACTGTTTTCCAGTGCCTGATTACGTTTTCTATACTGATGAAGTCATGAAAGTAAAAAAAAGTAACCAAGAAGTAACAAAATTCAAATACTAGAAACAAAAAAGGAAATGAATAATCAGGTTCAATAACCAACCATAAACATCACATAGAAACAGGACATAAACAGAAGCAAACTTAGAAAGAAAAAGAATTGATTGAAGCAATTCAGGATAAGACCGACGTCCATACACATTAAAAAATAACAATGCAGATTTAGATGGGCAATGCCCTTTTGGTGACAAATTTTTCTTAATGACAGACAAGAGAATGGGGATCTTGTTTTAAAATATAAGTACTTGGAAGTGTTTTTTATATATTTATTTAGCAAAAAGGGCACTTCATACAGTGGCCTTTTAACATCAGGATTCATTAACTAGTTGGACAACTTCAAGAAAACTATTTCATGTTTTAAAACTAATTTTTGTGAAGAGGGAATGATATTTAGGCACTGTAATTTACACCATAGAACATTATGATGTACTGAAAGGAACCACCTATTGTTGTATCCCACCCAAAACATTATCCAAACTGCTGGTTGTCCATATGGAGATCACAAATATTTTAATCATCAGTAACTTGAGAATTATGTGCACAGCAATATCCAGGGAAAAATCTAAGATGCAAATTAACGTTGGGATTATATATCTTCTGGTCTATTGAATGATGTATAGGATGAAGAGTAACGGTTCCAAGAGAGATCCTGGTGGAACTCCACCACGAGGTTTAACCTAAAGATCATCCCTTATTCCAACATTAATTTTCTAAGAAATGACTTTATTCATTGAAGAAACTTTTCCCTAATACCAGGGTGATCCATTCAGCAAAGGAGACAATGTTTTGGGAATGTGTAGAGTATCAGCCAGCTTGTAATGAGTAGGATCCAATGGAATGCATGTGGTCCTCATGCTGTATTTCCATATATGGATTCCATTGTTTTATAGTTCCTCAATCCTTGAAATTTCTAAAACCTTTGTACTACCTCTGGAGAATGTAATGACTGAAAAATGATTTTATATAAACATGAAAAATGTATCAAAGGACATAATAGAGTGGAATCTTATGTGGTCAAACACATTCAATTTGATTGGAACCAATGAAGACCTGTAGAACAAAAGTACAAAATGCTGACATTGAGATTACATTCTTCTCCCTTTCTTAAAAGAATTAGAAATTATGGTTTGCATGCTGTTATTTACAAAAACAAATTGTCAACAATATGAAAAATTTAACTCTACATCAACCACCAGTAATAAGATGTAAATAGATGTATTTAAATACATGCTACAGAACAGATTCTCCTCCATGAATTTAAAAACAAAAAGGCTACCTTCTTCGTCAGTGATTTCTTGTGAACCGCTGATTATTCTTTTTAAAATTGGATGCCCCCACGGATCGTTCACCAACTTCACCAACATACGACATTTGGGTGCTGCATTGTGGCTGGTAAGAAGGGCAGCACATCTTTGTAATGTTACACTCAAATGGGTCTTAGTCGCTGGGGTGAGTTTTGGCCAGTCCCCTTGGAGCACAACATTCAGGGTATGCCTGAAACGGAATTACATAAGTATAGAAAAAATTAAACAATCAACAAACAAACTAACAAACAAAATGACAAAAGAAAACCATTCAATTGTACTAATTAGGAGATATTTTTAATCATTACGTATTACTCATTACCATTTATGCATTGGTTACAATGAATTTATTTATTATTTTAATTGTAGCTATTAGAGCAAAGATATTTGTGGTTTAAAAACATTCTAATTTAAAGAAACTATTCCTCTTTTAGAGTGTTATTTTTTATGGTTATGCTGAGGTTGCAAGCATAACAAAATACACTCATTTTTATCAACTTTTCATTTCCCATACCTAAAAGTCTGTTTCATTGATTGATATTGATTTCATGCCTAACTTCCTGCTCTGGATTTCACATTGCAATTTAAATTTTATCCGAGCAAGTCCAATTTACTTTACTTCCCTATGAAATCTAGCCTTCAGGAAGCGACAAGACATCAAAACAAAGATGTGCAGTTCTGCCTGTCTCTGAGGCACATCATGTAATATATAATGATGCTTGCAAATATAAATTTGCAAAGAATTACAAGCAAGGATAAATTTGATCCCAGAAATCAGAATTGCTACCCATTCAATAGATGTGGTCAAATCTCCAAATGTTTGGCTGTGGCATCAACATAGAGAGAAGTTAGTTTGCAGTATTCTCTTTTCATTTGAAATATCAAATATGAAACTGCAGTCATAACAACATATGAAATTCTATTACAATCACACACACAAAAGTCATTGTTATTACATGCCTATTATGTTTCATTTCTGTTAAAATGTTGAATTTACTTTTATTTAGCCAAAAAAATATATTTTCACAATTTATACAAACTACGTATTCATCATATCCATCATTTTAAATGGCAATTTTCTTTAAAAAAATTCGAGCAGTTTTTTAAAAACTGTGTTTAAGCACTACTGTAAATTCAAAATTTAAAATGTTTTCAAAGAAAATCTTTTTGAGTTTTCAAAAACTTAATTTGAAGCCATTTTAAGTACCTTAACTCACAAATACAATAGTGTTTACAAATTGTTAGAAATATACATATCAATGGCGTGGAAAATCTTTCAAAATATTTATATTTGTGTAATTTTTTAAAACAATTGCACATATTGGACGCAATATTGCGTGAAAACAAATAAACTTTTCAAAAAAAATGTATATGACCTTAAAAAATCTCACTATAGAAAACAAATTTTATTTGAAGGAAAAATCTCTTTCTTCAATTTTGTAGTAGTAAGAAAACATCGAAAAAAATTCACACTTTTGAAATTTTTTAAAATTTAAGAGTTAACCGTGAAAATCTGACCTATGCCACGTTTCTAAGCCTATGTTACTCTATTCGTACAAGAAATTAAAAGAAAAAAATTGGAGCCGTTTTTGCGAAAATTTTGAAAATGTCCGGGTGGCTTCATGTAAAAAAAAAAAAAAAAAAATTAAAAAAAAATAAAGTTTTTTTTTTCAAAACCTCAAATATTCGACTTGGGTCATATCGACACTTTCTTTCGATTTGGAAAAAATCCTACGCACGGTTCAGGCGCAAGTAGTGTTCACAGACATCGCCTGCACGGACGGGCAGACGGCCGGACGGACGGACGGGCAGACGGCCGGACGGCCGACCAGACGGACGGTCGGACGGCCGACCAGGCGGACGGCCGACCGGCCAGACGGACGGCCGACCGGCCAGACGGCCGGCCGACCGGCCAGACGGACGGCCGACCGGCCAGACGGACGGCCAGACAGACGGACGGCCAGACAGACGGACGGCCAGACGGACGGACGGCCAGACGGACGGACGGCCAGACGGACGGACGGCCAGACGGACGGACGGCCAGACGGCCGGACGGCCAGACGGACGGACGGACGGCCAGACGGCCGGACGACCAGACGGACGGACGGCCAGACGGCCGGACGGCCAGACGGACGGACGGCCAGACGGACGGACGGCCAGACGGACGGACGGCCAGACGGAATAAAATACATGAGCACTTTCCTAACCTTGGATATTCATTTGTGTCCAGTGATTGGGCCTTTTATCAAATTGAGAAAATCAGAAGGAAAAGGGAATGTTTTCGCCCGAGAAAAAAGGTATAACATTGTAGCATCAGCTTCTTGGAAATTTTTAGTTGTTAGAGTGAATCAGTATATGCTATTAACTTATAAATACCACCCACAACCATATTTCAAAAAGGTCATCCAGAATGAGACAAACTGCTTTTTTTTTATTTTTGGGTAAATATTTGTTTCTGAACAAATATATTAAATTATTTTGTAAATAATTAACAATTTACATGTTTCTGGAGAGTCTCTATGCTTTTGTAATGCAAATTTTTGCTTAGAAAGCATTTTTTCGAAACAACTTTTAAATGCTTATAGCAGCTTAGACATCCGGAATAGCCAAGTGGTTTCTGAGAAAAGATGCATTCATGGTTTCTCATACGCGCAACATTTCTTGATATTTCATACCGGGGGGTGCGGGGAGAGGAGGGCTCGGCTACGCCACGACTTAAAAGGGCGTACCAACTGTGGGCATGAACTTAACTCGCCAAAGCGTGCCACGAAAAATGCTACGATTATTTTGATAGTGCAGGTTGTTGCCAGCATTGGAAATTGGAACGTGCTTTTCCGAGTCGAACCTAAGTATCGCAAAGGACCATAAACTTGCGCGAGTAATGTGTGAAGTATAACGCTGCGCTGTGATTTTTTTCACGACAAGAAAATGCCAACAAAAAATGAGCATGTGTCAAGTGTATGTACATTTAATGTAGAAATAGCACACATTTTATCTATTTTTGTAGATTTCTTTTATTTGTATTATATTTTTTTCATTTGTTTTCTTCAACAATTTTAATGTAATTGTTAATCTTCCTGACATGAGCCATGAATTTACAATTAAATAATTGAAAGTCATGGGTTTTCAGAGCTGGATAAAATCTACTTCATTATCCTCTCCTAGTTTTTGATTAAGAACATTCGTTCCGAGAAATTCCATGAACTTGTATCGCAGAATTGCCCGTCACTAATAGAGTTTTCCATTGGCCGAACTGGTGTGCGCCTAGGGCAGCTTTCGTGTTCCATTTGCCCGCTAGGGCGCACCAGTGCAAAGAAGTGCATATTCTATTCGCACAATGACGGAACCAGGGTGCACTCGGGACGTCCTAATCTGCACTGAGTTCGTCAGTGCAGTGCATTACACTGGACCATTTTGAGGTTAGGTACAGAAGTTATGAATGTTGATTTGGATTCATGGTGAAATTGCGAAGGCAATTGTGTATCGTCTGTCAGGCAGGGACACATCGATTGATGGAGTATATCATGTTTTACAAGATTTACAAATGTCTTAAAATATTTTTTGTAACTTCCGCGAAGTTCGGAAAATCAGTTTGTTTTCCTAAAATTCAACATTGAATAACTTCATGTTAACAAATTCAATCTTCTTTAGTAAGGAAAGTGTATGTACTTCTCGAGACATTCAAATATCTGCCGAGAAATGTGTCTCGCACGTGCATACATACGCCAGAAGAAGGGCTCATGTTAACATTTTGTCGGTTTCAATACTCACCACACAATTCTGCAGAAGCCTATCGGTTCAAAATCTAATGTACTATATCGATCACTAACAAATCTCGAAAAAAAAAAAAAATGGAATTTCAAATGATATACGTTAGAAGTTTTCGCTATTTTTTAAATAAAATTACACGTTAATATTATTTATGATTTAAGGAGTAAGAATTACCAAAAGACAACATACACAGTCTTAAAAATAATATTATAAAAATAACAATCAATTCCAAATTCTTATTTTTTATTTATATCACTGTGACAGACCACGAACGATTGTCTATAATCTCACTGCGCAACGCACACACATCGACTCAGTTTCGGAATCAGTTTCATTCGTAGCTGCCCTTCACGCGTGTGGAGCAGCACTGTTGCGGAGCAATCTTGTTTTTGCCCTGCACTTGGGTGGGTTTCCGTACAACGGATGGAAAACGCTCGCGACCCGTCAAGTCTAACGAGCCTCGCGCCACGCTCGTGTTGGTAAGTTTTGCAAAGACTGACAATATAACACGATCCGGATAAAAACTGGACAAATAGACCGCGAACAGCAGCACATACAAAATCGAAAGTTTAAACAGTATACATGGTTGCAACAATGATAACTACGAGAATGTCTAGTCGCCTCTTTCTCGAAAGCGTTCGCGATGCAAACAATTTTCGTGCGTCGTAGTCAAGTAAATCTATTCTGTCTTACGTGAACGAGAGAATATGCAGCATTTGACAATCTTTTCTACTACTTTCCCCGTCTTTTCTGTTTTTGTCTCAGCTTCTTGTGTGCTTCCTTTGCTTTTTTGTGGAATTTGTGCCGGAACGGACACTCCGGACTTAATCCGAATCCATGCGTTTTTATCTTCCAATATAGAATGTGCACGAAGCAATTCACTATCTATAAACATACAGAATAAATCATTTCAGTTGAGAAATAAATTCGTATACTTCATTCAATAAACAAAAGTATCTGATACATTCCTGAGAAATGCTTCATTACTGCACAGCAGTTTCTTTATGATATCTCTCTCATGATCAGAACGTTGAACTAAAAGTGAGTCGAAGCGCTTAAAATATCTGTATTGCCGATGAAACAATATTTTCAGATGCAAACGGCTACACACTGGCATTTATGATTTGACGGGACTGGACGCGTATTACGGACAGTTCTACACCATGCATAACAGCACTTCGTTTTGTAAATTCTATGCATTTGAGCCAAAAACTGTAAAAGAATTGTTTATTACTAGTATTACGAAGAACACTGTGCGTTCCCTTCTCTAAAATGACTCCTCCTATATTTTATACACGCACAATAAGTAATTTTATGTGGGAAAAATACATTGGCGCGTTTCTCAAAATTATAGCAACATAATTTCTTTGCCGCTTTGGTCTCAGGCACACATTTCCACAGAAGTGTTAGTATTTTTCT